TACAGTTAAAGAAAAGACCAACTCTAAATGGCTCAAACTATAAGGGAATTTATGATTTCACAAAACAAAGTCCAAGGTTAGATGATTCCAGAGCTGTTTAGTTTGGCAGTTCATCAGCATTATGAAGGACCAACTTCTGTCTGTCTCTCGGGGGACTACTGTAGTCTCATTGTAGGATGTAGTGTTTATTGTAGCCTCACTAATGTGTATTTCACAGACTGCATGACTGTTAGTGGCTGCCTCATGTGTTGGAAACAGGACCATGGAGGCAATGTGTGCAAGGACCAGTGAGGCCAAGGTTTAGATTAATTCTCTATGTGCATACTGAAATCACCAAAAATAGTGATACGAATGTAGGTAAAGAGATGGGCAGAAAGTCAGGGACTAAAATCTCTAATGAATGAGAAATGACCAGGAATATGGTAGATGACTGCAATAAATGGAAATAATAGATGTAAGGCAAGTCCTTCAACGGAGCTGGATTTTTAGAAAGAAGAGAGGAATAATGATCTGGCAGCAGCAATAAGGAGCAAGGATAGCATGTATCACCTTCAGATCCAATAGGAGAAAAGAAAGAGACTTCTTTTGAGAGGGCTTCAGAGGAAACTATGTCCTTAGGAGGCATCCAGTTTTTTAAGTGAAAGTTAAGGGACAAAATCATAGCCACAGAGGGAAGTTGGAAAATGAGTTTTGTGCCCAGATAAAAATCAAGAATTCAGGTTCAGTTATTCTTGAAGGAGAAAATAGATGATGTGGAAGAACAGCAATCTTTGCTGTAAGTATCATCTCCCCCAGTGTTACTATTTTATTTGTTAGCAGGATTTAGGAAGATATAATGTAGGTTGTTCTTAGCATTTGGCATTGTAATTGTACTTTTAGGGCAAAGGTCCCTAATAGGTATTCATGAATGGATTCCAGGTGTACCTCAGCCCTGAGGATGGTGGTGAATGGCCTCAAACTAGGGGTTGTCTTGTCAGGGACACTTCTGAGAGCAAGTCCCATAGTTCCCTCTGATTTACCTGGTACCTGTTGCTCTGCCCCTAGTGCAGGGCCAAGGGGCCAAGGATTGTCCTCTGGATATCCATTTTAGTAGCCAACTGAAGAATGTGCCACTGCCCATTATGAACAAGGGACACCTAAATCTGCAGGAGGCATGCTCAAGGGTCACTGTACCTCACCCAAGGTTTTGCCGTGGTATCTGTGGGTGGGAAGTGGAGAAGGGAGAGAGACTTTACAAAGCAGAGCTCTTGGCTGTAGCAGCAAAGAATCTCTGTCCTTATATATATTTGGCAGATTCTTCCATCCCTTTGTGTCACATATACTCTTTAATGGCATCCAAGTGAGCTTCAGGGTGACTGCTCCAATAAAGCATGTGCATTCATCAAAATTTCATCATTTTAAAATAATTCATACAAAAAGTTTTATTGGATTCAAATCTATTCACATTTATCAAGAACTTTCAACATTATATTTGTTGACAAAGGGAAGATTTGTTGTATCCTTTAAATATAATTTTATTTGTTGTAAATTTTTGAATGGTTGTAAAAATGGTTTAAACTTTTTAAAAAAATCACTAGTACAAATAGCGTTTCTTGTTGATGTCAACCATTAAGGATTTAAAGAGGTTGTCTCTCCTTTGTTGAGAATTGTGGGTAGGCATTTAAGTATACAACCTGATTTAAAACAAAAGGTATGGCTACAGAACTAAGCTCATGTTTCACAGTAAATTTATTTGGAAAATATCTGATTTGAAAGCATGGACAGATTTATTCACTAATGCTTTGTATTCTTATTTCTTATCAATTATGTAATATAGAAAAAAATAGAGTTAAGGTTTTTCACCAAGTCCCACATAAATGCCTCTAAATAGCTTCCAGTTTACTCCAAGTGGGCTGCTAAAATGTTAGTGCTTAAAAAAATTTTTATTGAAATATCATTGATTTACAATGTTGTGTTAGTTTCAGGTGTACAGCAAAGTGATTCAATTATACATATATATATATATATATTCCCTTTTTATAGTTCCTTTCATTATAAGTTATTATAAGATACTAAGTATAGTTCCCTGTGTATACAATTGGTCCTTGTTGGTTATCTATTTCATATATAGTAGTGTTTATATTTTAATCACAGACTCCTAATTTATCCTTCCCTCCCTTTCCCCTTTGGTAACTATCAGTTTGTTTTCTATATCTGTGAGTCTATTTCTGTTTTGTAAATAAGTTCATTTGTATCATATTTTTTAGATTCCACATATAAACAATATAATATGATATTTATCTTTGGCTTACTTAGTATGATAATTTCTTAGTCCATCCATGTCAATGCATATAGCATTATTTCACTTTTTTATGGCTGAGTAATATTCCATTGTATATATACAACATCTTCTTTATACATTCATCTGTTGATAGACACTTACGTTGCTTCCATGTCTTGGCTATTGTAAATAGTGCTGCTATGAACATTGGGTGCACAAAAACGCAACAGGGTAGAAAGCCCAGAAATAAACCTACACACCTATGGTCAACTAATCTATGACAAAGGAGGCAAGAATATACAATGGAGAAAAGACAGTCTCTTCAATAAGTAGTGTTGGGAAAACTGGACAGCTACATATAAAAGAATAAAATTAGAACATTCTCTAGCATCATGAACAAAACTTAACTCAAAATGGATTAACGACCTGAATGTAAAGCCAGATACTATAAAGCTCCTAGAGGAAAATGTAGGCAGAATACTCTTTGACATAAATCACAGCAATATTCTTTTGGATTTGTTTCCTAGAGTAATGGAAATAAAAACAAAAATAAACAAATGGGACCTAATTAAACTTAAAAGCTTTTGCACAGCAAAGGTAACCATAAACAAAATGAAAAGACAAGCTACAGAATGGGAGAAAATATTTAAAACAATGTGACCGACAAGGGATTAATCTCCAAAATATACAAACATCTTATACAGCTCAATATTGAAAAAACAACTCAATCAAAAAATGGGCAGAAGATCTAAATAGACATTTATTCAGAGAAGACATACAGATGGCCAAAAAGCACATGAAAACATGCTCAGCATCACTAATTATTAGAGAAATACAAATCGAAACTACAGTGAGGTATCACCTCACACTGGTCAGAATGGCCATCATCAAAAAGTCTACAAATAAATGCTGGAGAGGGTGTGGAGAAAAAGGAAACATTCCCATTGTTGGTACAGCTATTATGGAGAGCAGTATGGAGGTCCCTTAAAAAAAAAGAATAGAGCTACCATATGTTCCTGCAATCCCATTCCTGGGCATATATGTCTGGAGAAAACCATAATTCGATAAAATTTTAGCACTTTTGATGTGGGCCAAGATGTGAAAGACTGCTTTAGTAAGAGTAACGCTTCAGTTTAACCAAACTGGTATTGGTAATATCTGTCTTCTCTACTTGTTAAAATACACATTAATAAATTGTGTGTGTGTTTTCTAAACATTCCCAGATAGTTTGAGTTACTACCAGGTAAAGTCATGCTTTTCTGTCCTGAAAGAAAGAGGAATCTGGCATCTTTTGCTACTGTGATATACGTACTGGTACCAGAAATATGAAAAATTCTGACTAACAGGCATTTTTGTTTTGTATGTCAGAATTCATGTCCTCTTCCTGGGTTTATAGATTTTCTTCTAGAAATCACTACGTTTCCCATCTTCACAGTCCAAGGAAGGTTGACTTGACCACAAGCTCTAGGAGTGGGGTATGATGTGTGCAAGCCTATCCCTATATTCCATTCTCTTGCTACAAGGTTGGTTCAGAGACAGGCAGATAACTCATTCAGAGCCAATGAAACAGAAGAAGGTATTTGTTGAAACTTCTAAGAAAGAAACGTTCACTCTTCCCCTTGACATCTTAGCTTCCCATGGAGATGAGATATCTGGAAATGTATAAAACCATTTTGCTATATTGAGTGGCACAGTTGGCAAGTCTCTGTATAGAGCTTATCAGGGAAGATGTAAATGAGACGGTAAAGTTGAGCCCTTGATGAGATCACTTGAACTGTTGAATCAAACCTCTCCTGATGTTGAGGCTAATTCTGAATTTTCAATTTTATGAATCAGCAAATTTCTCCCTGTTCTGTGCTTTCCTAGATTCTGCATTTGTCTATTTGGCATACATTCATCGCAGGGTCAATTTGTGGCCTCTCTGACTAGGTAGAGACTGCTCCTCTCAGGACTAGCCAATTCTTAGAGATAGCCTGCAGCATGCATTTCATATGCAAACCAACCAATCTTGAGTCTATATGCCCCAGCCACTCCCTTTATCAAACTATAACAAACCAATATTTCCTCAGCCTTAAATCAACCCAGGACCAAGTATGCAATATTTTTTTTCACATCTTTATTGGAGTATAAATGCTTTACAATGTTGTGTTAGTTTCTACTGTACAACAAAGTGAATCAGCTGTATGTATACATATATCCCCATATTTATTAGACAACTTTCTTCTCTTACACCCTTCTCTCCCTCATTTCCTCCCCCTTTTTCTTTCCCTCCATTCAATATTTATGAAGTGTTCCTGAGCACCTGTGCTGGCACAAATGTTACAAAATTGTATGAGACAGTTCCTACCCTTGAATGTGTAGCAATGAATACATTTGGAGTAGACAGATGATAAGTAATCTGATAGAAGCATGTACAAGATTTAGTGGGGCCTGAGGAAGGGAGTGATCAGTTTTTCTTAAGAGTGGTATTCAGGAAGTTTCCTAAAAGGAGTGGGTACTAGGTAGATTTTGTTACCAAAGGCAAAAACAGAGCAGAGTAGAGCTTTCAGTCAGAGGGTACTGCATGGACAAAGACTCAGAAGATTAACTCTTGTCATGCTTAGGTGTGGACAAGTGATTTTCTATGGCTGGAGCACGGGATGTGGCACTTGGTATGGTGCAAAATTTAATGGCACACCAAAAAACTAAGTAATAGATAAATTTATTTTAATGCAGTATTTTTTTTTTTTAATTCATGCAGGGCTTCCCTGGTGGCACAGTGGTTAAGAATCCGCCTGCCAATGCAGGGGACACAGGTTTGAGCTCTGGTCCGGGAAGATCCCACATGCCGTGAAGCAACTAAGCCCATGTGCCCCAACTACTGAGCCTGTGCTCTAGAACCTGAGAGCCACAACTACTGAGCCCGTATGCTGCACCTACTGAAGCCCGTGTGCCTAGAACCTGTGCTCCACAACAAGAGAAGCTACCACAATGAGAAGCCCACGCACCGCAACGAAGAGTAGCCCCCGCTCACCACAACTAGAGAAAGCCTGCGCACAGCGATGAAGACCCAACACAGCCAAAAATAAAATAAATTAATTTTAAAAATAATTTTTAAAAATTCATGCAAAACTCTTGATAAACAAAATATGAAATTTTGAAAACTTAAAAATTGACATAGTAAAACAAATGGTACCTTGCTACCTTGCAAAAGAAGTTTCAGTAAGCTGAAGTTAATTAAAAATTATTGAAGATGTTTACTTATTTTAAAAAAGTGTCAAAAATGTCAATTCTCTCAATTGAAAAGAAGATAAAGAAGTTAATTTTGAAAGTACTATGAGTTTGTTTGATTAAAGCCAAGAAAGTAAAAACGTAATACAGGGGCTTCCCTGGTGGCGCAGTGGTTGGGAGTCCGCCTGCTGATGCAGGGGACACAGGTTTGTGCCCTGGTCTGGGAAGATCCCACATGCCGCGGAGCGGCTGGGCCCGTGAGCCAAGGCTGCTGAGCCTGCGCATCCGGAGCCTGTGCTTCACAACAGGAGAGGCCACAACAGTGAGAGGCCCACGTACAGCAAAAAAAAAAAAAAAAAAAAAAGGTAATACATTTTGTTTTGATATAAATAAAATATTTAAACCTAAAATAATATTGTTGGTTTAATACATCTATTTTTTAAATTTTCAATATTTTTTCAACTACCTTAATATTCTATAATAAAAGCTAACCATTACAAACAAAAAACTTACATAGGGACATTTTTTCTTTTACTTCACAGTCTCATATGGCTTGATATGGAGCTCTCTGAATATTATCTTTGTTTAAAATTTTGATGTTTTATCAAAATGTTTTGTAGCAATTTTGATTTTTAAAAGAATATTGCAATAAAATATTATTTAACTTGATTACTGAGTTATTTGATTTCCCCTTAATTTTTGCTCTTAAAGCAGTTGTCTCACTGGTCTCACCCTAATATTGGCCTTGGAAAAGGAGTTAGATTCATTTAAAGACGTAACATATTCTTACTGTTTATACCCACTACAAATTGCTTTCTGATGAGTGAACTTAAACTGGTAATACTTAACTGAAGCTTACAACCATTGCATTAGAAAAACTTAGCAGTCTTCCTTCTATGTGTCCCTCTTACTCCTCACACAGAACACTTCACTTCTGACACTTCTGGTCGCCAACTATGTGGGGATTTTTTTCCCCAACACCAAGCAATCCTACACAACACCAGCTGGTGTCCTATAATTTAATTCAAAATTGTAATTTAATGTCTCTGTCCCGTAAGACTGTTCCCACCCCACTTCAGATGCCAGTGGCAAATAGTAGGTTCCCAAGTTATTCACAACTTCTTTTTTTTTTGGCTCCATTGGGTCTTCATTGCTGCACGTGGGCTTTCTCTAGTTGCAGTGAGTGGGGGCTACTGTTTGTTGCAGTGTACAGGCTTCTCATTGGGGTGGCTTCTCTTGTTGCAGAGCATGGGCTCTAGGTATGCAGGCTTCAGTAGTTGTGCCACATGGGCTCAGTAGTTGTGGCTCACAGGCTCTAGAGCGTAAGCTCAGTAGTTGTGGTGCATGGGCTTAGTTACTCTGTGGCATGTGAGATCTTCCCAGACCAGGGCTCGAACCCATGTCCCCTGCATTGGCAGGTGGATTCTTAACTACTGTGTCACCAGGGAAGTCCCAAGTTACCCACAACTTCTGTCAGACTTGGCTACAAATGAGAGCTTCCCATTACCTGCTCCTCATTGGATTTAATAATTTGCTGAGCAGCTCACAGACCTCAGGGAAACACTTAACCAGCTTATTAAAGGATATGATAAAGAATACAGATGAACAACCCGATAAAGAGATACAAAGGACAAGGTCTGGGAGGGTCCTGAGTACAAAAGCTTCTGCCCTTGTGGAAGGTGCATCACCCTCTCAGTAAATGGATGTTCACAGAACTGGAAGCTTTCCAAACACCATACTTTTGGGATTTTTATGGAGGAGTTATCACACAGACACGATGGACTATTAACTCCATTTTCAGCTCTTCTCCCTTCTCAAGAGAATAAGGGGTGGGGCTGAAAATTCTAAGCTTCAAATAATGGTTTGGTCTTTCTGGTGAATGGCCATCCAGGAGCCCACACAGAGTCTCCTCATTAAAATAAAAGCCACCCCTATCACTCAGCAAATTACAAGGGTTTCAGGAGCCCCATGCTAGAAATGGGGATGATGACAAAATATATATTTATTATAAACCACAATATCATACCATTATGTAAAAATCAGGCTTATATACATAGCCCTGCCCTCCAGAGAGCCTGCACTAGCTTCTAGACAAGCCTCACCTACCAGGGGGCAGACACCAGTTGTGAGAAAACAACAGCTCCACAGTCTCTGGACCTGTCCTCCCTTCAACCAGCAGGCCAGATCCTGTACTGAGATGGGTTGGGCCCTGGCCCTACACACTAGCAGGCCACCACAAGCTTCAGGACACACCAGAACCCACACCCAACTGTGTCAGAAACATGCCCTACTCACCAGTGATCTAACATCAACTCAGGGATCCCTGGGTGCTGCAATCAGACTCCAGGACCCAGCTCTGCCTGCCACTAGGCCAGCACTAGCCCCAGGAAATGGCTTTCCCATTAGTGGGTGAGCAACAGCCCTAGAGTCTCTAGCTTCTAGACAAGCCTCAACTACCAGGGGGAAGATACCAGTCATAAGAAAACAACAGCTCCACAGTCTGTGGACCTGTTCCCCACCACAACCAGCAGAAGGATACATGCAGCTCTCATAGGAGGAATCCCTGGAGCATATAGCTCAAGTGATGAGAGTGGACGGATGCATAAGGATGCATAGGACGTCTCCTACAAAAAGTCACTTTTCCAAGGTTGGGAAATGTAAACAACCTACCAGATACATAAAAAGAAAAACAGCAACTTAGGCAAAATGAGGTGACAGAGGAACATGTTCCAAATAAAGGAAAAAGATAAAACCCCAGAAGAACTAAGTGAAATGGAGATAAGCAATCTACCAAAGAAAGAGTTCAGAGTAGTGATTATAAAAGATGATCAGATAACTTGGGAGGAGAATGGATGCACAGAGTGAGAATTTGGAAGTTTTTAACAAAGAGAAAATATAAATAACAATAAAACAGAGATGAAGAATACAATAACTGAAATGAAAAATACACTAAAATACACTAAAAGGACAGTAGACTAAATGGTACAGAGGAGCAGATCAGCAAGACAGAAGACAGAGTAGTGGAAACCACTGATGCTAGACAGAAACAATAAAAAAGAATGAAAAGAAATGAGGACAGTTTAAGACACCTCTAGGACAACATCAAACACACTAATATTTGAATTATAGGGGTCCCAGTAGGAGAAGAGAAAGAGAAAGTGGCTGAGAACATATTTAATAGCTGAAAACTTCCCTAAACTGGGAAAGGAAACAGTCATACAAGTCCAGGAAGCACAGAGAGTTCCATATAGGATTAACCAAACGAGAACTACACCAAGACACATTGTAATCAAAATGACAAAAATTAAAGATAAACAGAATATTAAAAGCAGCAAGGGAAAAGAAACAAATAGCATACAAGGGAACTCCCATAAGGCTATCAGCTGATTTTTCAGCAGAAACTGCAGGCCTGAAGAGAATGGCATGAAATATTTAAAGTGATGAAAGGGAAAAACGTATAATCAAGAATACTCTACCCAGCAAGGCTCTCCTTCAGATTTCATGGAGAAATCAAAAGCTTTATAGACAAGCAAAAGCTAAAAGAGTTCAGCACTACAACCACTTTACAAGAAAAGTTAAAGGAACTTGTCTAAGTGAAAAAGAAAAGACCACAACTAGAAACGTGAAAATTATGAAAGGAAAAATCACATCAGTAAAAGCAAATATACAGTAAAGGTAAGAAAACATCCATGCACAAATCTAGTGGGAAGGTTAAAAGTAGTAAAATCATCTGTATTCACAATAAGCAGTTAAGTGATATACAAAACAATTAGATGTAAATCACACTATCAAAAACAGTAAATGTTAGGGGAGAAGAGTACAAAGACAGGGTTGTTAAAAATGCTTTTGAAATTAAGAGATAAGCAACTTAAAACAATCATATATATATATATATATATATATAGTTATATAGTTATATAGTTATATATATAGTTATATATAACCTCATGGTAACCACAAACCAAAAATCTATAATAGATACTACACAGAAAAGAAAAAGGAATCCAGACATAACACTAAGGATAGTCATGAAATCACAAGAGAAGAGAATACAAGAAGAAGAAACAAAAAGGACCTATAAAACCCCCAAAACAATTAAAAAAATGGCAATAAGAACATACATATCAATAATTACTTTGAATGTAAATGGACTTAATGCTACAATCAAAAGACAGAGTGATTGAATGGATATAAAAACAAGACTCATATCTGTGTTGCCTACAAGAGACTCACTTCAGATCTAAAGACACACACAGACTGAAAGTAAGGAAGTGGAAAAAGATATTCCATGCAAATGGAAATCAAAAGAATGCTGGAGTAGCAATACTTGTCTCAGACAAAATAGATGTTAAAATAAGACTGTTGTAAGAGACAAAGAAGAACATTACATAATGATCATGGGATCGATACAAGAAGAAGATATAACAATTGTAAATATATATGGACCGAACATATGAGCACTTCAATACATAAAGCAAATATTAATGGACATAAAGCAAGAAATTGACAGTAACACAATAATTATAGGGGACTTTAACACCCCAC